GATAGAACATAAAACTATTTCTAACAGTTTTTGACACAAAATAATATATGTATGTACCATAAACTGGAGTTCCACAGGGTTTCTCTAGAAAAAGTATGTACATTTCTTACACATATTTAGCCTTTTAAAATAAAATGCAGTGTACAATTTGCTGAATTGGTTTTTAAGAGAGAGCAGAATGTAAACAATTATACTGGAAAGCTGATTCCATGGTATAACCTTAAAGGAATGATTCCAAATGTTGGGAGATACACATTCATCAAGAGTTATATGAGAAGTTTGATTTGACTCTCATGCCTATCCACTTAAAAAAGTAGCTGGCATAAGCAGCGTTTATCATAAGGACTTAGAACAGGAGGAAAGAGCTAGCCTGGCTCTGAAGTTAACACAATCTGCCTACTAGCACCCCTTAAAGCTCATTACTTAACATGTGATATCTCAATTGTTAAATCAAACAATCAGACAATGGGGCAATATTTGCAGGGCTATTTCTTGCTGTTCACCCACAGTTGTTTCCAGGAGTATTGTCACCGCAGTGAGATTGCAAGGCATTGAGCAGGGACTGAACTAATATGTTAAAACTGAGCTTACATGGTGCTTGTAGCTTTAATTGCTTACCTTTGGATGGAGCCAGGCAAGCTATTTCCCTGTTTCCAGTCCTTATGCTAAGCTAAACTAGCTTTGACTTGTCATGGATATGTTGACCTGTGATTCATTTCACAGCATGACACTAATCACAATAGGGAGTAAATAGAGAGGTGAAGCCAGATGTTAGCGCTAGCATCTCTTTGATGAACATTGCTTGTGCAAATGACTGTGCTGCTTCTGCTTGAAAAATAATTCAAGTGGTTTGCAAGTTTTCACAAAGTAAAGCAAATGTCAACATCATTAACATTCATGGATTCCAGCATTATGGATACTATGAGTAATATCCCATTCTTCTGACCCTGAGGCAGGTAGTGTGAATTCTTATCAGTCTCTTCTCAGGTGAAGCCTCGGCCTAGTTGCTGCCTTGGGGTGGCGTTTCTGCAGCTTCCTCCGCGCTGTGCACACCGCTGTCCAGCTGTGCGTTGCTCCTGATAGACTGCACGGCCTGAACCTGCTGGAGACGTCCGGTCAGCTCTGCCTCGCAGGCCTGCAGCAGCGCAGAAGTCCTCGTTCTGTCCCAGCCCAGCACCTGCTCCATCGCTTCTACCCCTCTGGTAACTACCATCTAAAAAACACATTAGGAGGCTTCATTTTTAGATACATATAGAAAGATAATGCAATCCAATCAGACATCCCTGTAATAAATCCTATCCTTTGTGACTCTTATAATGTTCAGTTTCTGTTCAGTGTTCTGTTGACACTGTGAGAGTAGAGCCGAGGGAGTAGTTAGTGGTGTTTGTGCACTGAACTCTATATCAGTGAAAGGTGCTTCTAATATTTATCTTTCTTTATGTATTCAAATGGGGGTTGACAAAATCTTAGCTTAGCATTTTAGTTCAAGTGAATGCCCTTTAGGACTTTAAGACAGAGTCACTTATAAAGTATGAATGTGTTGTGTCAGGACTTGCAACTTTCCGTAATTTCTTCATCATTTCACAGCAAGAGACTTATTAAGGCATGTTAAAGCACACACTGTAGAAGTTTTGAGTCTCTGAGAGCATTACCTGCAGATCCTCAGTGGAGAGTCTGGTCTCTGGGCTTGTTTTTCCTTTCAGGACCATCAGTGTCCTGGATATGAATCCGGATGCAGAGTCCACCTCCATCCCATCCACCTCCACAGCCCCTGACACATTAAAATGGATACTCTTTCAGGATCATTTGTTGTATAAGGACATTTTTAGAATAAATCTCTTCGAGAGGTGGGATTATTTAGCAGCAACAATGGTTCCACCTAGTGGCTATAAGGCAAAGGCATAGCTCTTATCTTACAAGCCATCTAAATACAAAGATGCATCTGACAAAATAAACTCTGCTCTGAAATAAATAACAGCAATGAAAAACATTTTTCATTAATTATCTTAACTATTTGATCTTAGGGGCTTGAATAAATTGACAATGATAGCTTTCCCTAAGAACCACTATTGCTGTGAAATACTCTCTTCATTAACCAAACTGTGAAATACATAGACAACACATCACACAGCATGAGAAAGCCACAGTATAAAAGGGTTTAACCAGGAATTATATTATAATACAATAGTATTTTTTAAATAAATTCCATATTGTAAAAATGAAAACCACCCCACAATGACACAGCCTTACTATCCTGGCTGGCCTGGCTTGACGCTTCCTGCTGTCCTTCTTCTTTCTCCGCAGCTTTAAGGTAGAGCTGGAGCAACTCTTTGGACTGCCTCTCCTCCTCTCGTCGGTCCAAAACGCCCTGCAGTGTCTGCTGAAGGTCCTCGGCCTTCTTTTCCTTGAAGCCCAGAGCAGAGGCTAGCTCGGGGCATGGGGCATCTACTAAGGTCTGGAACATCAGGTGAAACAAAGCAATACAATACTTTAACTTTGATAAAGAACACTACAGTTGGTCTATGTGGTGCTTCACAGCAACAACAAAAAGCAGAACAAAACAAGGAGGAAGAGAACAGAACATTTAAAAGTTAAGCCGATAAAATCTTCCAAAATGTTTTCTTTTTACTTATTTTTTTATAAAGATTGAATTCAGTTTTAAAGTGCACATGTCATATGGGTGTGTTGCAGATATTACACAGGAACACAATCAATTAAAGACGGAAAGAAGGAGATGCCTGCCATAAGGCATACTTCAGCTTTTTATAAACAGAGTAATAATGCTAGCACCTGTAATTCGGCCTCAGACATGAGGATGATGCTGGAAAGGTCCTGCTTCAGCTGCTGAGCCAGGCTCCACCAGACTGCTGCAGCACTGGAGGCGTCCACAGTATCGGGATCCAGCACCAAAGAATCCCTGGCCATCCAGGCTGTGCCACCATCCACTATAATGAAAAGTCAATTAGAACACAGGGATGTGCATTTCATTGTAAAATTATAGGAATTAGTTCACTGTGACAAATCTCAGAAGGAAGTAAAAAGCTTACTCCTGCGAACTGGAGACCATGTCTCTCTTTCATGCAATAGCATGAACTTTGTGTTTAAAGGTAAACACAGAAAGTAGGCCTGATCCTCTACTATCGTCCCATCATCTTCTAGGACGACTGAGACCGGCCCAGCGGGGCTGAACCCAAGAGACTCACTTCCTGGGGAAAGAGCAGAAATTAAAGTTTTTTTGTGAATATCCTTTATCACAAGTGCTGAGAACTTTGATAAACTTAGCCATAGCCTACATCACAGCAAAACAATCAGGACAACGAAGTTCCAACTAAGCTAAATATTTCAGGCAGTAACAACGAACACACCATCGCACAGCAAATTACTATCAGAGGATTCAAGCAAATACCGACCACTTCGACAAACAACTCAATCCGTCTAAGCAGTCACCTCTTCTTTCATCACAGCACAATCACTGCTGATTGTGCTGTTTACTCCAATCCAACATTAGGCCCTTTTTACTTGTTTGTATATTCTTTGTTAATGATCAATCTATAATTCAGCAATGGGTTTGCTAAACATGGCTCTGGTAGTATAAGTTACAGTCCCCACTGAATCTGTAACTTTGGAAATCACATGTGAAGCATCTTTGTGGTGAAAGTAAAACTGAAACCATTTACTTGATTCATCAGCCACAGTTTAATAGAGCAACAGTGAGCTGCTTTATTTTGTGTTTAACTGTACGTAGCCTCTGGTATCAGGGTTCATACACTTTTTCACCAATGATTTTCAATGACTTCTCCATGACCTTTACCTCATTTTCCATGACCAAAGAAATTACTCTTTCTCAGCGGTACCACTGAAACATTTTTATTTTAACATGGTAAGCTGGAAAATAAGGTCTGCATATGAAACATGTTGTGCCTATCTAAAACAAATCAAATAGTAGGCTTACTAGCTCCTACAGACTAGCCACTGTAGACTACAGGGCGTGATTGTAAAACTCTCACCAGCAAAATACCTCGACAGTTAAATGCCATTTTACGTTTCATTACTATACGATACAGTATTTATTATCATTATAGTATTACTATTTCGGCGATTAGATCAAATATAAATTATATTTGATGCAACTTTGGTTACATTTCCATGACTTTTACAAAACTTTGGGAAACCTATTGTTTTCCATAACTTTTCCAGGGCCTGGAATTAGCATTTTGAATTTCCATGACTTTTCCAGGTTTTTAATGACCGTAGGAACCCTGTGGTATGTGCTCTCTAACATAATGCCTGTAACAACACATTTCATTGGCATGTGTACAAAGGGTCAGGTTTTGTGTCTCCTGGAGTAACAGGAGTAACAGGATTTAAAGATAGTAGATAGTTTAAAAAAAAAAGACAGCACTTGTGGCAGAGCCTGAATTTGAGGTTTATCAGAGTGTAAAGTATCCATAGCTATGGGCAACGCCTGCTGACTAGTGTTCCAGGAATGAGAGGACAGGAGGGAGGTCTTGCCTGACTTTTTCATGTTTAGTTCCTGCAAGTTTCAACACGATGTTGCTCTACTCAGCTCGTTCTTGATACTGACAGATTAGCAAGACTAAACTGCAGCAAAATCCAAATGGCGGCAATGTTAGCCGAAACAGTGCTGACAATCATTTTACATCATAACATTTGTGTATAAGATGGCACCAATCCAGTTTAGTAAAATATAGAACAAATGAAGTTATTGTGACCGCTGTATAGACTTATTGTGAGTATTCTCTTAAATATGTATAGTATAAAACAAAAAATTGTTAATAGGAGCCAGATATGATAGTCACCCTTTAGACATGTTAACAACTTATAGCCATTCTAACTTACCTTTTGTCTTCAGCTCATCTAAGGAGGGAACTACCAACCCGTATGATTTCTGCCGTGTGAAATTGCACACCCTACACGGTTTCCTATCTGTCATTCTAGGCTTTATATAGAGAAACGGATTTTTCTTCTTTCTTCAAACTAAAGCTGTCAGATGCGGACTGCAGTTCTCGCCTGTCTCGAGTTTCGAACACGGAACCGCGGCGGTGTCTTCTTCTCTGAGGTGGAAAGGCAGCGTCCTGAGTTAGTGTTGCTTCACTGCCATCTTCTGGAGAAAAGTCACCTTACAGGTCAGATTTGTTTCTTTCCTTACCTATTTTTTTTACAATACCAACCATTTTTTGTGCAAAATGTGAATGTCTTATCATTATATGATGCCTGTGTTGAACAAACACTTCCCACGGCATTTTAAGGTCAAAGGATGTCTACTTGTATTATTTTGTTGACACCTTGTTTGGCCATTTCTTTTATTCCTTCTCTTGATTGCCATTGTTTTAAACTCCTGAAAAGTACTGGATGTACAGTACCTGATCTAGGCAAGGCAAGTTTAGTTAACACATTTAGCTAAAAGTAAATTAAAAGAGCATTACATAAAACATGAGAAGTATTGAGACAAAGTGCAAAGAAAAACACTCCATATAAAAGTATTTAAAAATAGTCATACAAGACCCAAGAGAATAGAAAGTTCAAACCATTAGCTTAAAAGGGGAAAAAGAAGGTATACAATACAAAATAATAAATGTTACTGAATAGTTTGTTGATATAATAAAGAAATCAAACAGAAAGCTGTTCTAAATTATTAGTTTGGGCTTCGCGGACAAAAAGCAGGTCCTGTTCTGTTTCGATTTGGTGGTTGAATATTTTCATGGACTTAAATATCTAAAGGTCTTTTTCTGCATAAACTCTGTGGCATTTCTCCTGTCTCAACTTAGTTCTGTACATACTGTTAGAGCCTGGGCCTGGATCAGATTTAGTACTCATCTCCATTTTCTCCACAAGCACCCATCATCTGCATACATGTTCTGCAGCGTTTTCCTTTTACCCACTTGCTTTTAGTTTTTGCTCTATCTTTGCCTTCTCAGACAAATTATTGTACACCCTGATTAACAATTAACTCGGACTTTAGTTACATTTTCGTTTTTGCACTTATATAAATTGGTTGTAACAGGCGTAGTAACCATATAATAAATAGTCAATTATGTTATCACACAGAGTCTGTCTTCAGTAGACTCTGACTTGAAATGTGTCAACTTCTCTCGGAAAACATAAAGACAGCATCGTCTTTACAGTCAGTGTAGTTAATTTCACTTCTTTTTAATGTGTCACTTGGTGGCAATAATGACGTTTAATGTTCCATTATTATTACATGCTTATATAGATATCAGTCATACTGGCCTCAACTGAAAGGATTGTCTTGGGCAGGCAGATTCAGAATCAAGGCTGGATTATAAAACAGATAATGGGACCAACTACTCCCGGCCCCCAGACTGTCAGGAGCCTCGATGGCCCCAGATGACTGCTTTTTCTGTTGATTCAATTTATTATGATTTGTGTAAATTAATGCACCACTCATGCACAACATATCTTTAAACAATATCCTGCATTAAATGCTGTCCCTGCATTATTTATCATACCTAAAGTGATCCTTTAATAGAATAAAAATTGATTTGAAAAAATGCCCCCTTGGAAAAACCTGATTTTCATAACTATGTTTTTGTTTTGTATTATTATTTGATAACACACACTGGGCCAGTACATCTTATATTTTAAATAGCTTACTGATATAATTATTATTATTCATCAAAGTTTGTGATATGGTGCTTGCAAAGCAAATTCCAAGTACCTTTCATTTGACTTCTGTTTTCTCTGAATGTATATGTACAGTGCAAACATCTGAAAAAATATAAAAAATCAGTCAAACCCTTTGGCTGAAAAGTGAGGATCTCTTAAAACGGTTATCTAATCTGCCCAAAGACCAAATATAAAGTATAATTAGAAAATGGCTGTAGGCTATCTCAGAAACTACAAGGAGCACAATCCGGCACAGTGGCTCAGTCAGTAGGGGCTTGGACTGGGAGCCGTAGGGTCGCTGGTTCAAGTCCCCGACCAGACCTAAATATGGAGTGTGGACTTCTACTTGGAGAGGTCCCAGTTCACCTCCTGCCCTGCCGTGGTGCCCTTGAGCAAGGCACCGGACACCCCCCTTCCCCCCCACTCCCATTGCTCCCCGGGCGCTGTACAATAGCTGCCCACTGCTCCTAGTACTAGACTCCTTGTACTAGGATGGGTTAAAAGCAGAGGCCAAATTTCACTGTGTGTGCTGTGTGCTCTGCATGTGTGACCATTAAAGAGGGTTTCATCCCTCCCTATTCTATATTCTATTCTATATTCTATATTCTATATCAAGTATTTCATATTTTAATTAAGTGGGATATCAGATAGGCAAACAATTGTAGTCCAAAAAACTGGCATAAAGGCACACACAAATGAACACAATGTTATAGTTTTATGTTATTTTTAGAGAGAGCAATCAGGACACATGCTATGGCATTTTCCTTGACATAACAAAAATAGTGTTTTTGTAAAATGATAAGATAAGAAAGTCACTTTTTGTGTGATGAATATGCAGTGTTTATAGCCTTCAGGAAAAGCAATCGAGAGTGGCTCACTCGAGCAGCCTGTAAGAAGACGAGGAAGATGGCATCCACCGAGCAACCTGATCCACCAACACAGGTCTACATTTATGCAACAAATACATTCACCTCTTATTGTCCAGACGCGACAGTATAATGTGTTTAGATGACATGACCCTTGAATGCCTTCCTTTTCTTTAGCTACTTTTATAACTGCTTTGCTAGTAAGAGGTTAGCAAACACTTGCTAGTTAGCATGCTAGCTAGCTGCTGCATCGCTTCAAAAGTTCAGACATGCTTGTGTTGACAAAGTGAACGCAAAAGGCCGACTTTATTCTGCTTCACCGTACGATGCTAAAATGTCTGTGTCTTGTCTAAGTAGTCTGTTTAACATGACCTTGCATAGTACGTCCTTCCATTTCAACGTGTAGTCTTTCTTTCTCTGTCTTATTTTGTGCATTACATGACATGATGTGTAAAAGTCACTGTAAGCCAAACAAGCCTGGTGGATCACTCGAACCTCTGCTAACATTGACAAGCAGAAAAATACACATAAATAAACGTAATGCTTAAACATGTATGCAGGGACAGCTTTACAATTTGCCTCTACATCCACTGTTCATTTAGGCAAGCATAAATCATATTTTATCCAGAATGAAAGAGCATAGTTTAACCATTAACCATGAAAAGGCAGACTGAGTAAACCAAGAGACTGATGAAGCAGGAAAGACATTAAGTAAGGAACTGAAGTCATGAATGATTGTCATGCATGCCAACATTTGCATAACAATTACTTATTTACTAATTAATCAACTCTTGCATGAGCATAGCCATAAATATGTATTCCCTTGTATGCACGTGTATCGAGTTTATGTCGATGTATATCGTTTACTACTCTGTTTCTACCACGGATTTAACCACTTACTTTACTAGATTTGATTATGTCTGTTATGAAGTAGTTGTATGTGGCAATGTCTTTAACTCTCCTGAGTAGTTTGATGCTGTTAAATATATATGTATTTTAAGAATTTCATTTTTTAGTTTCTTTTTTGTTATTTCAGCAGCATTAATCTGTGATATTGCTTTTTTGATGAATGATCACGGAAAATTACATTATGCTGGAAGAAGTACTTCCACTAACACATTTTTACTAAAGAAGAAGTATCAATTACCTTGTCAATTTACTTACACCATTTTACTGGAGTAAAAAGACAAAATTATAAGCATCAAAATAAGGGCCTGTATTATTTTAATCATTATAGTTGGTGATGCAGTAATATGTACATTGTAAGTACTTTTATATTTTGCATCTTATGATCAATACATTCGTATCGTTACTGTTGAAAATGCATCCTAACTGTTGATTTTATTTTGTGAAAATCAAAATCTGTAAAGTTACTAGTAAGTCAAGATATCAGAATCAGAATACCTTTATTAGTCCCACAGAGGGGAAATGTACATTGTTACAGCAGAAAAGAGCCAAAGACAGCTTAATGTTACCTAAGCATGCATCAAAAAAGTAATAAAGATAAAAAAAGAAATTATAATAAAGAAAGTTACACATTTTACAAAAATACACACCCTGTAACAGTTCTGAGGATTTAGCAGCCAGGTATATATTGCACAGTTTTTAACGGCATATATATATATATATATTGCACATATTGCACATATTGCACATATTGCACATATTGCACATAGTTGGTATTTAACAACAAGAGGTGTTATAGTCTGAGTTGTTGTGTGTTTGGGGGTGGGGGGGGTCTACTAGGGGCCGTGCTGGTTATATAGTCTGACCGCTGCAGGAAGGAAGGACCTTGTATGGGAGTAGAAGTATAAAGTAGCACACAATGGAAATACTCAAGTAAAGCAAATGTATTTAAAATTGTACAGTTCTGGATACATTTTCTTAGTAATCTTCCACAACAGCTGCTATTTGATCACTGCTTCCAAAAACCAGCATAGCCTCCATCCTCCAGTAGATGGCAGTCTAATACAAGTGTTTGTTTATCCCCTCAGCCTGGCCTCCCGCTTGGAGATGATACGGCGGCCCCCCCCAGAGAAGCACTGGTAAGAACTCAGTGTTTTATACAAATAACTTGACTGATAACCACAATGCTGAAAACTAATTTTTAAGAATGGCTAATTAATATAAGTGCATATAAGATGATAGACATTGCAGGTGAGATCAAATGATACTCACATTTCATTTAATCCCATGTAAAAAAAAAAAAACCTGTGTATTATTTATGGCTTCTAAATATTGATGAATGTTGCATGCCATGATTGTCAACCAAGTACTAATTGTGTGCTTTCCAATGAAACCAGCTGTTTGGAGAGAATGAATGTCAAGATACGCTATGCAATTGATAACACATAGTTATAGTTGAGAATCAGTCGACTTTTTTTATGATCTAGTAAATTAAAGAAGTTGGTACTCTTTTATTTTTTTTTATTAGCAAAATAATTATCTTTGCTACCAGATTATATTACCCAAACCCCAGTGAGATCAAGTGGTGAAGCCTTCCAATTAGCTGACATTCACTTTAGCACCACTCTGATGTCCCCAAGTCAATAATGAGAGTGTACTCTACGTTCCTTGTCTTTAGAGGAAAAAGGTCTATTTTAGCTCTAACATTGCTTTACTCATGTCTAGCACAACACTTTTACTACATATCTATTTCATTTTTAGCCCATTGTTTCAAGAGTGGGTCATCGGCCACAGTTGGATCCAATTTTTTCAATTGTCTCTAGGTCACCAATAGAAAGAAGAAAAAACTGTCAACTATAGACTTTGTATAGTAGCCTCAAAAACAGATTCAAAGAAAGTTAGTCAATTCATTCTTAAAGATGTAGACTGCAGTATAATACTATTTTAATTTCCTTGCATCCCACTTTCTGTAAATATTGCTCAATTACTGCATTACAGTAGTACATCATATTAATATTCAGCTATAAGAAATATTCACATGATTTTTGTCCCCCCTTTAACTCAGGGTCTCTCGACTCTTCATAAGTTCCCTAAGTTGTAAATACATTTCTCCGTAATGTGTGAATGGAAGTGTTCATTACACATCGCTCGCATCAAGTGATGACAATGATTATAGCCGGGACTGTCTTATCGCTAAGTGGGATGGAATACATCACAGGTGCATTCACTGTCCTTGTATGGACACAGCATCCAGGTTACAGGAGTGCTGCATTGTTCAGTCTACATGTCTCAATGTCATTCACCACCATTCACTCTTCATCCTCCCCCCATCATCCCTTCATGCCAAGGCTAATTTAATCCTGGGGTTATTGATTGTGGGAGCATTCTCCGAGGCTTTCTTTCAATTTACTTCAATTTCATCATCCCAGTGCGCTTCGAGACTGCCTCCTCAAAAAGGGAAGAAATTCTTGTTATGAGGGTCCTGATTCGAGACTGGTTGACAAGTCTCCCCGCACCACCACCACCACCCTCACTTCCAAGCCCTTTTCTCCTTTCTCTTTTTGATGAGCTGCTCTTTCCCAGTTAAGTGGATTATTACAGTAGGGATAATTCTTGTCACATGGCATTATTTGGATGAGGTGAATAATTGAAATTTATGTCTGAAAGGATTTTATCTGGATGAGAGGAAAGGGAGTGCTGGCAGGGTTGGTAGGGCAGAGAGAGGGGGGGGGGGGGGGGAGAGAGAGCACACACACACACGTTTGTAGAACATTTATGTGCACATGTGCATGTCAAGCAAGCCAGTGTGTCAGGCTGGGGACACCAGTCATGTTAACAGGTTCTGACTCACCTCGCCCAGATCAGGCCCTGGCACACAGTGTGGGCGCTCCTCTGTGGCAAAAGGGGGCCTTAGCTCAGGGTCCGGTGCCACAGCCTTTGCCCCCACCCGGGCCAGAGGGGGAGGCCCGGACCTGCAGTTATAGAGAGACAAAAGGGAGGGAGGGACTGTTGGAGTGTGTGTTCCATCATGGTTGACTGGTATACCAGTGGCTGCCAGCCGCTGCTGTTGCCTCTGGCGCTGCTCTTTGCTCGCTCTCACCCCGGCTTGCTTCATCTATAACCCCCCCCCCCACCTTCCCCTCGCTGCTGCCATGGCCATTTCCCCTTCCAGTCTCTCGCCGGTGTCTCCCTGGTCTTTGTGCTCTCTCCCTGCAGTGACACCCTGCGCTCACTCCTCGTCTCCTCAGATCACTCAGTCCTCACTGCCTTCATATCCACCCAAACGCATCACAACAATAATTATATGTCTACAAATCCCTTTGATCACATGAAAAGAGAACAGGGCTAGCTCTGAAACAAGGAAATACTTCAACATATTATCCAGTATCATAAGAGAATATTGTAATATGAGACTAGATATTGTATTGTATTTTATGTTGTATTTTCTTCATTATAAAAGCTGCATTCAAAATTACATTTAGTCTTTTTTTCACAAATGTGTCTGCTATTAGGGAAATGAAGAATGAATAACGGCTATACAGTATATCCACACTTATTTCTTTAGAAATTGTAGTTTAAATAAAAAATAAAGTAAAGAATAAGAACATTCATAGAGACGCTCGTATTGTGCAGAAAATATTTTTGTTATAGATTAAAAATTATTTAATTATCTATTCATCTGATTATTATTATTTTCTTGCATAATCTTGTGTCTATAAAATATAAAAAAACACTTAATAATTTTAAATGATTTATTTGGTCTGACTGTCTAAAAACCAAAGATTTGTTGGTTTACTATTCTATATGATAAAGAAAGGAAGCAGCAAATAATCAGACCCTAGTCAGTTTGTGAACACGCCCAACAAAAAGAGAAACTTTTTCTTGCGGAGTGTGTGTATGAAAATGTGTGTGGCTGTGCAGCTGATCTACAGGAGTGTAGACCATTTCACCAAATATTATTCTTATTCTTTAAACTTTTAGAATTAGACCTGTCCTTTACTCTCAACATGTTGAGAAATGACCCAAATGAAAAGAAATGCGTTTGTGTGTGCGTATGCAAGCATGTGGTTTACTTGTGCAGGAGTTGCATCCGTACCATCTTGGCACCTCTGTATGTGCATGTGGGCATATGTAGAGTTAACTGAGTGTGTTTGTATTTAGGTTTAGGGGTTTGAGTACAACAGAGGGAGGGTGGTAATGGGAGGGAGAAAAGAATTGTAAGAAGAACATCCCCGGTCTCACAGCAACTTCAAAAGCTCCCCTTCCCCAGGATATTAAGCGACTGTGATGAAAAATTTAGCAAGCGTTAAATAAGCCGCTTTGAAGTGATCTGTTTTGGCTCAGCAGTCTCCAAATTTCCGTAGCCCCTCTGCAATAGCCATCACACTATAGAGGGAGGAAAAAGAACAGTGTGTTAAGTGCAGGAGTTGTGGGGGACCTGGCAGGTTGGCAGAGGACGGGCCAACAGAAATGGTTTCAGCCAGCGACGTGAAGGTATTGCTGCTGATGTCGTCCCCTGTTGTCTTTTGCCGGCTCTTTTTCTCCTCATTTCACCCCGCTCTCCCTGACGACCCTTCAGCTGAGCCCCATGAGTCACAGGCAGACAGATGTTCCTCATATGTTAGCGCTAAAAAGAGATTTTTTTTTAAACTTCACTTCTGCGTGGGTGTAGCACAACTGTAACACAGCGTTGATACCAGGAAGTCAAGAGGTTACTCTCGGGTCTTGACTCAGTACTTTTTTTTTTCCAATGACTTCCCCCATGTGCTTGTTGAAATGTGTTTCCTCTGCATGTTTGTTTTTTATTCTCTGGATTATATGACTTGCACAATCTTCTAGGAAAGAAAAGATAATAGGTTTTACAGTAAGTGATTTCTGCTTTTTTACATCCTCACTACCATAAAGCAAAAATAACAAGAAGTTAATCTCTTATTGCAGCATTCATATTTCAATTCATTTCACATTCATCACTTTCGAAACCATTATTTAAATTTTTGAGGACTCCAGGTTTCAACACGCCCCAAATTAATTATTAGGGCAGAATAAGAAATGGGAGCCGGTAATGAGTCTGATATGGTAACTCCATTCTGTCAAGAAACTAGGCTACCATTTAGTTAGTCAAGGGAACCTTCTCTGAGATTTTCCTTTTTTCCTCTTTGCGCATTACTTTAATTGTAATTGTAATCCTTTATTGGAGCTGTCTGCAGTAAAGGAGAGTTATGGTCCGAGTGGGGGCGCGAGCCATAGAGATATTTCATGATTATTGGAGAAGACGGTCACTAGGTGGCAGCCACTAGTTCGGCCTTGCTGTAATTACTCGGTGGGAAGTGATGGCGAGAAATGATGTGTGTGTGTGTGTGCTTGTGAGAAGAGAGATCTTTCAGATTCTAACACACTCCTTGAAAGGGAAAAGTCGAATAAATCTGATCACCTGCCATCGCGCAGTCAATAGATTTAGTATCCTGTCACATGTGACTCTAAACATGCTGCATGTTCTGCAGAAGCACAGAACAAAGGCGTGTGGGACATTAATATTCATGCTCTTGTGTTTCATTTGAAATAAGTAAACTCTTTCTGATCTACAAACGGCACTCTACAAATGATAATGCCATGACATCATTGTGTTTAATTTCCCAAGCCCATAGGTTTACATGTGAAACATCTGCCCGCCACAGTTTGTTTCAGCGGGTCGAAGTTTTTATCTTTGAAAAGCATAAAAGCTCAATTCTCTGTTTCTCAGCGCAACACTCATTGTGCATCATGCGCTGTTTGTTTCGGTGGTTAATGATACAAGAAGGGCCCTCTGTTTTATTGTTGCTGTGTTGCACTTTTCCCCCTCCTCGCCCAACCCGGCAGTCAGCCTCCTTAGAGGACTCTGTATGAATTCTCACTGTCATGTCCAAGGACGAGTGGCGCAGGGTCAGCTAATTGCTTTTATGATTATGATTTCACGTCAGATTTATCGTGCATGCTCAGAGCACATCTTCCAGGTCCTGCCGACGTTGCTGGCTCGGATGGGGAAAATGAGTTTACAGCTTCTGGCTGTGACTTCTTGTTTAAGTGCAGGTCACACTTTTTGACTCATTAGAGTTGAACGCAGAGGCTGAATCACACAGGCTTTTCCTGTAAAAGCCTCTGT